CTGCTAGAATAACGTGCTTTAGTAGATCTCATCTCATCCAGTGTTTGCTTCTCTTTTCCAGAGTCTCGCAAGTTCCTTCTTTACGCTCGTCAGATCGAGATCCGAGGTGTTGACATTGACAACCCCTACTACAACTACATAATCTCCTTCACCGTGCCGGATGTAGACAACGCGACAGTGGTGGATTATGATGCTGTGGAGCATCGGATCTACTGGTCAGATGTGCGAACACAGACCATCAAGCGAGCTTTCATCAATGGCACAGGGGTGGAGACTGTGGTCTCTGCTGGTAAGAACAGTCTCAGGAATATCCGTCAATCCGTGATTTATTTACTTCTTTGTTTTTCTTTGTTTTTTAAATAAGGCTCATAATTTAATATTCGCTGTAAAGTATAATAAGAGGCTTTGGGAAGATAAATAAAAACAGTTTTTGTTAGCACGCTGCATGTTCTAAAAATCTGCAAAGCTTCATTTTGCTTCTGAAATTTGGCAGACCTTCCTAATGCCCATGGCCTGGCAGTAGACTGGGTGTCCAGGAACCTCTTCTGGACCAGCTACGACGCCAATAAGAAGCAGATCAACGTGGCCAGACTGGATGGATCTTTCAAGAATGCCGTCATCCAGGGACTGGACAAGCCCCACTGTCTAGTGGTCCACCCTCTGCTTGGGTGAGTGTTCCCGGCACTTAATATGTCTGCATTCAGTTTAATATGTCAGTTATTTCTCCTAATATTACTTAAAGATTGAAAGGTTTTTCTTTTGTTGTTTACTTCTTAGTTATTTTTTTATTCCCTTCAAGTTTAGTCTTAATCTTTGATCTACTTTATCCTTCTTTAGTACTCTACTCTTCTTGCCTGTCTCCATATTTCATAATATTCCCACTCCCATCACAGGAAGCTTTACTGGACTGATGGTGACAGTATAAGCATGGCTAACATGGATGGCAGCAACCGCACCACACTTTTCACCAACCAGAAAGGACCAGTAGGTGAGCAGATGTACCCCTATCAGTAAATAATACAGAGTAAAAGCCCAGAACAAACATGTTAGTGTAGCACATCTACTATACATAAATAACAGCATGATTTTTATTTGCTTTCAGGCCTCTCTATTGACTATGAAAAGGAGCAGCTGTACTGGATCAGCTCAGGAAACAGCACCATTAACCGCTGTCAGCTGGACGGCTCTAAACTCGAGATCCTTGAAGGTGTTAAAGGCAAATTGACCAAAGCGACTGCGCTGGCTATTATGGGTAAGAAGAAAAGTGTAATGCTTTAAGTTTGTCATCCTTGTCCTCTGTATATTTATCATTTTTCTGTTGGCTTATATTCTGGTTACATCGATTATGTAGGAGACAAGCTGTGGTGGGCCGATCAGGGAACTGACCAGATAGGAACATGTGACAAGAAGGATGGAGGAAACTGGAAAGTTTTGCGAAACAACACCTCCCCAATGATGCACATGAGGATCTATGATGAGGATGTGCAGAAAGGTAACAGAAAAAGAGTTGCATGTTCTGAATGGATGTAAAGTCTCCTGCATTTAATGCAAATACTAGTAAAGAAAATGTTTGTCTTTGTTCCTCTGATCTTTTCTTTAGCCGGTGTCAACCTGTGCAGTAACAACAATGGTGACTGCTCACAGCTGTGTTTGCCCACCTCTCCGACAACCAGGGCCTGCATGTGCACTGCCGGATACAGCCTCAAGATGGGCCAGCAGTCCTGTGAAGGTAAGACACGGCTACAGTAACCAGAGTAAGAAAACTGGGAGAAGTGCATCGTGAGGCGAGAAATCAATAACCTAATCTCTCTGAGCAGGCATGGGCTCTTTCCTGCTTTACTCTGTTCACGAGGGAATCAGAGGAATTCCTCTCGACCCAGCGGACAAATCGGATGCCTTGGTGCCGGTTTCTGGAACCTCTCTGGCTGTTGGCATCGACTTCCACGCTGGTGAGTGACTCCGAGGGACGTCGAATAGATAACCCAGCTTGAGTGATATTTTTAAACTTGTTTTTGTGTGGTCTTCAGAGAATGACACAATCTACTGGGTGGACATGGGTCTGAGTACCATCAGCAGAGCCAAGAGGGATCAGACGTGGAGGGAAGATGTGGTAACCAACGGTATTGGCAGGGTGGAGGGCATCACTGTTGACTGGATAGCAGGTGTGGTCATGCAAAATGACAATCACAATGAAACTGCTTGAGTAGAGATAAAAGATGCAGACTGATTCATGGACGTGTTCTTTTACAGGAAATATTTACTGGACCGACCAGGGCTTTGATGTGATCGAGGTGGCCAGACTGAACGGCTCCTTCCGCTATGTTGTCATTTCCCAGGGCCTGGACAAACCCAGAGCCATAGCTGTCCACCCAGTGAAAGGGTAAGGCTCCTCGCCAGAAGATTCATTTTGCTTTCTGTAATAATGCTGCTTTAAGTTACTTGGCGTGTATTCCCAAGCGTACTTCTTCCTCTGACTAAAGTTTCAAATACTCCCCTGCTTCTTTGGCTGCAGGTATTTGTTCTGGACTGAGTGGGGTCAGTATCCTCGTATCGAACGCTCACGACTGGATGGCTCCCAGAGGCTGGTCATGGTCAATGCGAGCATAAGCTGGCCCAATGGAATCTCCATTGATTATGAGGTGTGAACAACAACTGACCGCACCGAAATCCTTCGAAACACACTTGGCTTTATTAATAGAGGCTGTTTCCAACATCTAGTGTGCTCATTTATACTGTGATAGATGCTTCCAGAGCCTGGACTGTTGATCAGCTGATCTTTAAATGGATGAACTGTTTATTTTGAATATTAAAGTGGTAAAAATTAAAATACAGTGACACAACAGAGATAAAAAAATAAAGAAAACTAATTTTAATCATCTCCTCTCATTTGATCATTTCTAATCCATATCTATCCAAAACATTTTTTAGATTTTGAAAGGACTTTCTCTTGGATTAATTTTTTTTAATAAAGTTAAAAAAGGATCTTTAAACCTTTTTTATTCTTTGGAGCATCTTATCCAGTCTGGGAGTTTTATTAAAAGCCTAAAAGCTGTTAGATATTTAAAATTATAATTTAAACATTTCTTAATGTAAATGGTAATAATATTTTAAAAATAATGAGAATTCATTTTTAAATCGGACTCACCTAAATTCACTTCATATTCACTAAAAGATTACATTTATCAGCTAACCGGTCTCCCAAATACAGGTTCAATTTAACTCAAATCTTAGGATTTTGGTCTTTCCTGAATAATCCCAGTTCTTGTTTACTTCCTGTGCTCAGGAGGGTCTGCTTTACTGGTGCGATGCCAGGACAGACAAGATCGAGCGCATCAACCTGGAGACTGGAAAAAACAGGGAGCTGGTTCTGGGCAACAACAACATGGACATGTTTGCTGTATCTGTGTTTGAGGAATACATCTACTGGAGTGACAGGTCAGTCTTTATGTTGTTTTGAACAATACTTTATATTGTAAGAGTGTTCGTTTACTGACTGTTTTATTCTTGTTCTGGTTGTTTTTAGGACTCATGCTAATGGCTCCATTAAGAGAGGCAGCAAGGACAACGCTACAGATGCTGTGCAGCTCAGGACAGGCATCGGTGTACAGCTCAAAGATATTAAAGTTTTCAATAGAGCCAGACAGACAGGTAAACACAAACACATATTATCATAAGCTTTAAAAAGTCGCTTTAGCATTTAACCATGTTCATGTTCGTATAACAGCAATGCTAATAAACTGTGTGACTCTCTCCACAGGCTCGAACGTCTGCAAAAACAACAACGGCGGCTGTGAACAGCTGTGTCTTTTCCGTGGGAATGGCGAGCGCACCTGCGCCTGTGCTCACGGCATGCTGGCAGAGGACAACCAAAGTTGCCGTGACTACGACGGCTACCTGCTGTACTCCGAGCGCACCATCCTGAAAAGCATCCACCTGTCCGACGAGACGAACCTCAACGCGCCCATTAAGCCGTTCGAGGATCCCGACCACATGAAGAATGTCATCGCTCTCAGTTTCGACTACCATGGCGGGGGAGGGAGGGGAGCTAACCGCGTCTTCTTCAGCGACATTCACTTTGGCAACATCCAGCAGATCAACGACGACGGCACAGACCGCAAGATCGTGGTGGAAAGTAAGTGCGGGGTCATCAGATGCTTTTCGCTTTTCTGCCAAAGCGTCGGGAAAACTTTACGTTTTGCTGCTCTTAAGACTTCCCCGCCTCTGTTGACAAGTATTTCTGCTGCGTTGCTCTTTGCTGCCATATTTTTTTTAAAATTCTCTCCATTAATAATTGAATGTTGTCCCCTCTACGGTGTCAGCAGACATAATTGACTATGTGCACGTTAGCATATGCTACTTCCGGCAGTGTTGCCAACTCCTCAGTAAGGAAAATCGCTATTGGTTGTCCTAGAAGTCGCTAAATGACGTCATCACCTAATTTGCATAATTGGTCATGCTAATGTAATTGTAACCTACGCTGCTGGAGAGAGAAATAACATCGTGGACGAGACATAAAGTGAGCAAAAAACGTCCTAAATGCATTTAGAATTTATTTAGAACTACAAATTAAATTTCTTTTAGCAATTATTGTTTCTTGTAATGTCACAATTCCAACCCTGCTCCTTTACCCGGGCTTGGACCGGCAAAAGTGACCCGAAATAGGCACTCTGGTGGAGTTACTTTGTGTGTGTGTGTGTGTGTTTATAAGTAGTTTTACTTGTTGAGAGTAAAAGCGATATGCGCTTTCATGTCTTTTTTTAGCGACTTTTTTTTTTTTTTTTTTTAGAAAAAAAGTCGCTAGGGGGTCTGAAAAGTCGCTAAATATAGCGACAAAGTCGCTAAGTTGGCAACACTGACTTCCGGTGCGGAAACTCCTGTGGGGAGCTTTGTTTCCGGTGTCCTATAAGCGCCTGGTTTACGGTCCAAAACAAATTAATTTAATTAATTATAATTTAAATTAATTAAATATTTCTGCTGCGTTGCTCTTTGCTGCCATTTTTTTTTTTTTTAAATTCTCTCCATTAATAATTGAATGTTGTCCCCTCTACGGTGTCAGCCGACATAATTGACTATGTGCACGTTAGCATATGCTACTTCCGGTGCGGAAACTCCTGTTGGGAGCTTTGTTTCCGGTGTCCTATTCGCGCCTGGTTTACGGTCCAAAACAAGTTAAGCAAATGAATGAATCAAGCAGCGATTTACATTTCTATAGATGTCTTGGGCATTTACCCAATATATCTGTAAATGATGTTCATCGACTTGTCGATATTTTTGTCGATATTTTTGATATTCTTGTCGAAGCATCCGGGAGGATCCGGTGTAACGAACACGCAGCTGTAACTTCTCAACCAGTAGAGATTGACGTCACTTCAGAGCTGCTACTCAGAGAATACAGGCTTGCGCACACCAACACCCTCGCCCTGGTTCTTGCTTGTTTCACCACTGAAGAGCCTTTTAAATCCCGCTCTCTTTAAATAATTCAAGAGTGAAGTATGATATTTAAAAGCCCTGGAGCAGAGCTGTTCGCATCTAACAAGATTCAAAAAATGAATTATTTTGTTAAGTACAGCAGGAGAACAAGGAAGGTGCACAGGGTTTGTGTTTTTACTCATTTTGCATTGAGAACAAGGGTTTGAAGCAGTTTTAAGAATGATGTCTTACATCGTGTTCTGAATGTAGAACTTATTCAGCTCCAAATAAGCTGCAGCTGAGGTTAGAGGAGTGTATTTTATTAACTTTTGACATGATTACATAATCACATTCTGTCATGTTTTAGAGACGTCTGTTGTCCAAGTTATTAACTTTTAAAAACGCACTGTTAATGAACCCTCCAAGACTAGTCCTGTTTCCATGTGCTAATGGAATAAAGTCAGTCATTGCTGGATGAAAAACGAATGTGGAAAAACATCAAGAAAGTGATCACTTTGGCAATCTGCAGTAAATCTCTTACATCTGGAATTAATTTGATCATATTTAACGTCACTGAGAGTTTCTTATGTAATATTTCAGCCTGTTTGGAGGTATTAACTAGTCTTAACTCCAGATCTCCTTCTGTAAAGTCAGTTTTGGCCTCTCCCTGAGGTACTGTCCTCCTCAAAAGGCCGTACCATGTCTCTGCTCATTGCGTAAGGGCAGCCACTCACACAGTTCCTGCACCGTGCCCATTGCCTTCTTCCAAGCTCTAGTAAGTCTCGCCTAAACTTCTGAGACACAAAGCTGTAGAGTACAGGGTTTACCACACCCACTGAGGTTGCCAGCAGCCTGGCCACGATGGCAAATACTTTGTTGCCAGATGAGTCTTTTAAATGTCCTCCAATTAAGGAAAACATGAGGACATAGGAGGGCAGCCACAGGATGGTGAAGACGGCGACCAATAGGGCTGAAGTGTGAGTGACTTGTCTCTGGTAGCGTTCTAGCTGAGGGGCATTCCCCACCTGGCGTGCATATCGAAGAAAACAATAAATCTTTGCATACATCAATATAATGATGCCTAGTGGCAGAGCGAAGCCAAACAGGAAAAGGGCGATGCTGTAGACGAGCTGGCTGAAGTCAGACAGGAAGGCGAAGCACTGCACAACACTGGACACGGTGACTGTGCGAAATGCAAACTGTGGTGCTGCGAGAGCTGAGGCAGGGACCCAGAGCAGAGCTACTGTCAGTTTAATGCGCCTGTGCATTCGCAAGCGGAAGGCCCAGGTGGGGTGTACCACCGTAAGGTAGCGAGTCACAGCCAAAGCTGCCATGGTAAATACGGAGGCAACCGAGCAGGTCACGCCCAGGAAACTGATCGCTTTGCACAGGAAGCCGCCGAACGGCCAGAAGCCCAGGGTGATAGCGGAGGTGTGGAAGGGCAGGCACAGTAACAGCAGCAGGTCAGCAGCGCTCAGGACCAGAAGTAGGATGTCTGTGCTGTGTGGGGGCTGGTTCTGTTTCCTCCTCCTCTGAGTAAGAATGATGATGACCAGAGTTTGCCCTATGAGCCCAGTCAACAGGATCAGCCCATCCAAGATGGGGACTAAACATTGAATCAAAACCTCATCTGTTCCATTCATTTTGCCCAGATCGCTTCTGTTCATCTGCTGCCCCAAACTCTCCGTGCAAAACTCGCCGTAAGTCTGCTAAGTAATTAATCTAATATCTTGTTAATGTTAAGCAGCAGAACAGCTTGTTCATGTATCTCTGGGTGTTACAGCTGTTGGCTCCAGTTCACGTCTTTAAAAAAAACTCGACTCCGCCGAGGCAGTTAGTGGCTTCATGATGATAGTAATTAGTTAAGCAGATAAGATCACACTGGTCAGCTGGCTTTCACAGGAAAAGGGGAAATAAAACAATGTGCCTCGTTTGCTCAAGAAGACACAGACTTGACTATATCTGCCACTATATGGTTTCCGAGCTGCTTGAAGAAATGCAAATCACTCAACGATGGTTGGATATGGTATTCCCCATTTCTGGGAAAATGGATCAGAAAAATGCACGGTTGTTATCAAGCTTTTCTTTTCCAGAAAACATGAAAGGATGACCTTAAAGGGCAGTCTTTGCAGAGTTGCATTTCCTTAGCTGCATCAGCTCGTCCTTTATAATGTAGTTACTCTGTGGCTGTATTGATTCTTGAAACCAAGCAACAGTGGACGAATCCATCCCAGTAGCTGCTAGTTGGCATTCCTCTCTAAAGCCAGTCAATGCTACTTGACTTAAGTATTCCCCTCAACCGGAGACTCATTGTCCATGTGAAAGCTCTTCAACCTGTAGACTCCGCCGGAAGAAGAGTTGCTCTGCATCTAATGCGGCGCTGAATCCGTTAAGAAAAAAAAAGCGTGATGAAAATGAAGGGTAACTAACGCTTAATTCTCAGGCGTCACTCGCCCTGCTTTTGTTCTCCCTCGTGAGTGTTAGAAAGACTCTGTTCTGAGAGGTAATCATCTTCCTGTCAGGTTTTCTGTTGTTTGCACAGTCAGGGGGCTGAGCTGAATTACCCAGTGGGAGGGGGGGGGCCCTGGTGTTCCTTATTACATAATCCTGGCTTGAATCAACTTTACTCCTCACTCTTACTTGTTTGTGTGACTGTATTTGGCCCCAAGCTGCTCTTTTGGATTTATTTAAGTCTGCTAACAATGTGTTCAGCCTCAAAATCGTCCTGCATTACTGCTGATTATGCCACTTCGACATTTGTCTATTAAAAGGCAATTAAAGGCTTTCAGCTGAGAGCAGTTATGTAGAGTATCCCTTTTTTTTATTGTCGGCTGTAAGAGGTCATAAATGTGGTTGCTAATGTAACTAAGCAGAGATGAATGCACACCGTGGAGCCTGCGAGGCTGCAGCACGGTATTCTTTTCCATGATGATGTGTGTCGCGTGGGTGCAGAGAGGGGGAAAAATCGATGCAGGGGGAAGCTGCTTTGTCTTTACCCTGGCCTTTATCCCTAAAGTGACTCAACCTGTCCCAGTTGCAATTTTCTTCCCAGAACAAGAGTTCAGAGCTTGAACGAGAGTATCCACATGAAGCTGTTTGTATGTGCAGGCGGCTCGCCATAAAATGACACGATGACACAGACTCTTTAAAGTCTGTCCAAGAACAACAGCTGTGACGCACACTCGGTTCTGTATGGCATCACTTCCATTTTACTGTTCCCTGTTTCACTGGCCGCTGCTTCCCCTCTATCTCAATCTGCGTCCATGTGTCACAGTTTATTAGATAATGCATGTGCATGGGGAAACCTTAAAAGCTCCACTTTCTCTTTAGTCTCATAGGTGCTCCGTGGTAACACCCTGACAGTGATTTATGATGTGTTGAATTCTCTGTAAAACTCCCACTGATGCCTCTAAGAGGTGATATTTTTTTAGTGTAATCTTAAGCCTTTTACTTCTCAAAGTGTTGGCCCGAAAAAATCTGAAAAATCATCTATTATATTCCCCATCACAGATGTTGGGTCAGTTGAGGGCCTGGCGTACCATCGTGGCTGGGATACACTCTACTGGACCAGTTATACGACGTCCACCATCACTCGCCACACTGTGGACCAGAGCCGTTCTGTGGCCTACAACCGCAACACCGTAGTCACCATGTCTGGAGAAGACCACCCTCGAGCCTTTGTGTTGGACGAGTGTCAAGAGTGAGTCGTTAATATTGAAATGTGCTGCTCTGCACTAAATCAGGGCTCAGTTCCAATACAATTATTCTTTTTCTCTTAAGCACTGGATTTATTTTTGGCTCAGTCAAGTGTAACTTTCTTTCGGGAGCTCCCACTGCTCTTAACTCTTGTTTCCTGTTTGTTCCCACCGTAGTCTCATGTTCTGGACGAACTGGAACGAGCAGTCTCCGAGCATTATGAGGGCCTCTTTGAATGGAGCCAACGTGATCGTGATCATCGGCAGCGACATTAAAACTCCCAACGGCCTGGCCATAGATCACCGCGCCGAGAAGCTCTACTTCTCTGACGCCACGCTGGACAAGATCGAACGCTGTGAATACGATGGAAGCAACCGTTACGTAAGGCGGCACTTTCCTTTTTGTTTGTTTGTTGTTGTTTTTTCCAACTTTCCCTAAAACGTGGACTTGCGCCTCGTGTTTATGGAATTACACCTGCTGCTTTTTATGCCTCAGGTGCTGCTGAAAAACGAGCCGGTCCATCCGTTCGGTCTCGCTGTGTACGGAGATTACATCTTCTGGACTGACTGGGTGAGGAGGGCTGTGCTCAGAGCTGACAAGTACACGGGAGGAGACATGAAAGTGCTGCGTGCTGACATCCCTCAGCAACCAATGGGCATCGTTGCTGTAGCTAATGACACCAACAGCTGTGAGTATCACCGGTGCTGCGATTTGGCCCCTACCCCGGCATTGCCATCAGGTCAACATTTTAATTTGCCCAGTAATTTGATTTATGTTTATATAACTGCAAAAGGAATGAAATTCAGCTGTAGTTTGTTTAGTGTATGACTGTGGCAGGTATCATGTTTACTGTCTGCATTAAACCTGCATGTGCACACGTTGCCAGGCTGCTAACACTTAGCTGTAAGTGGAGGTATACAGAGCTATAATAAAAACCCAACTTCCACAGGCTTTTAAATATTGCCAAGCTAGAGAGTTCATGCAAATTTTCATAACTAGGGATGCAGCGATACCAATTTTTCCAAACCGATACGATACCGATACTTGGATCTGAGTACTTGCTGATACCAAGTACAAAAAACGATACTTCTACCACACACACACACACACAAATGCAATTAATTGGAAGACAGGTTTTATTATATTCCCTGTCGATAAAAAATAAAATCTTAATAAAAATGACCACAAAAAAATTTCAAGTGAAAAATAAGCACTTCTGTTAAATTATTGCAGAGTCTCCACATTGTAATTTTACAAAATATCACTGAACTATTGTCTCGAGCTTTCAGAATAATAAATAAACACTTCTGTTTGGAATAAAATAAACTTTTAAATTATTGCAGAGTGTCCATATTGTAAACAAACAAACAAAATAATTATTATAAAATAAATAATAAATAAAATAACAATTGGCCCCCTAGTGGCCAATCTAAAAAACTACAACAGAAATGACAAGCCACCCTCTGATTAATTAAATAAGTTGGTATCGGTTAACTTTTACGAGTGAGTACACACACATTTTACAGCATCGGTATACCCGATACCAGTATCGGTATCGGTGCATCCCTATTCATAACTGCAAGAAATTTAATATCAGCATGCTTGTCAGTCATTCGACGTGCAGTTTAAAGAGCTTCTCAAAAAATTCCTCAGGTGAATTTTCTCCTTGCCGAACAAACAACGGAGGTTGCCAGGACCTGTGCCTGCCTACGTCCGACGGCCGGGTCAACTGCAGCTGCCGTGGAGACCGGCAACTCCTCGAAGACAACACCTGTTCTCGTAAGAAAGAGGAAGAATTAAACTTCATAACGTCGCCGTCTTCGTCAGAATGGATACATGTTTCTGAATGCAAACGTTTCTCCCTCACCAGCCCTGAACGTATCGTGCGGAAGTGTCGATGGCTTTGAGTGCGGGAATGGTGATTGCATCAACTACAGTCTGACCTGTGACGGCATGGCCCACTGCAAGGACAAGTCTGATGAGAAGCAGTCCTACTGTGGTGAGTTTTTACAGAGAAGTTAGGTGGTGAATTTAATTTAATGAATAATTTGCTGCAAGAGATGTTTGAAAAAAAAAAAAACCCTCTGTGCCTGAGCTAAATCAGCTGGTCCTCCTTCACAGCCAATCGACTCTGTAAGAAAGGCTACAGGCGCTGCATGAACGGCCGCTGCATTGGTCACCACTTCTGGTGCGATGGCACAGATGACTGTGGTGATCATTCAGATGAACTGCCCTGCAACAGTAAGTGGTTTGTTTCCAAAGTAGCAGCTGCACAAAGGATAACAGTCTGAACATTCTCATAGTTTGAATAGTGTCGACGTTTTTCACGACACCTCTGTTCTGCCTGCACGTTTAAGGAAATTATAAAATGTGCTTAACGGAGGGTTTGCGTGTGGTTTTGAGGATGTGTTTTCTCTCCATTTGTCATTTGTGAAACTGCTGCATGTGCTCGCAGTGACGCTTTGCAAAGCAGGAGAGTTCCAGTGCAAAGATGGAAGCTGCATCTCCAACTACAGCCGCTGTGACCAGGTGGTCAACTGCGAGGATGCAAGCGATGAAATGAACTGCCGTATGTAGCTGCCACGATTTTCAACAATATTTCTTCTTCTTTTTCACAAGTGCACTTCTTAATCAGTATATTAATATAGACTTGACACTTCAGTGCAATTCGTGTGAAACGGTCTAAGATTTATTTTGCAGAATTTAAAGGGCAGCTCCTGAAACTTGTTCTTGTTTTTTCTCAGAACCCACCGATTGCTCCCGTTTTTTCCGGCTCGGAGTTAAAGGAGCCTCTTTCCAAAGCTGTGAGAAAACCACTCTGTGTTATCTGCCCTCGTGGGTGTGTGACGGCAACAATGACTGCGGCGACTTTTCCGATGAAAGAAACTGTCCAGGTAAGCGTTATCTTTCACTACCAAAAGACATTCAGCTTTTCTGAACCTACCAGAGCTTCTTGATTATGTTTTGTTTTCTTTTTTTCTCTGTTGTGTTGCAGATAAGAGGAAGCTTAAATGTCCAGTCAACTTCTTTGCTTGCCCCAGCGGTCGCTGCATTCCTATGAGTTGGACCTGCGATAAAGAGAATGACTGTGAGAACGGGGCTGATGAGACACACTGTGGTCAGTCTTCTGCGAAGTTGTCCTCTAATACCCTTATCTTTATCTTGAAAACACACAAATCATA